TTGAGCATTTTTTTTCATTTATCTGTTTATCATTGGCATGTCAACCTTTGAGGAATGTCTATCCACATATTATGCACAAATTTAGATCATTTGTGTCTAGACTACTGAGTTGAGTCCACATGTATTATAGATATTCACCTATTTTCAGTTATAGAGTTTGAAAATACTCTCTTATTTATAATTTGCATTTTCTATCTATTCTATTGTTTTCTTTGTTGTGTAGAAGCTCTTTGATGAAATCCATTTATCTATTTTTGCATTCGTTTTCTGTGGTTTTGAGGTCTGATAAAAAATAAAATACTTTTGCATTCTGATGTTCTGGAACATTAACCATGCATTTTCCTTTCTTTTTTTTTAAGATTTATTTTGTTTATTTGAAAGGCAGAGGCAAAGGGAGAAATAAAGATATATAGAGAGAGATCTTCCATTCGCTGGTTCACTCCCCCAGTGCCATAACGACCGGAGCTGGGTCTGGGCAAAGTCAGGAGCCAGAAGCTTCTTCTGAGTCTCCCACATGGGTGCAGGTGCCCAAGCACTTGGATCATCTTCCCCAGATTCCCTAAGCCATTAGCAGGTAGCTGTATCCAAAGTGGAGTAGCCAGCCTCAAACCAGTGCCCATATGGGATGCAGGCATTGCAGGCAGCAGCTTTACCCATTATGCCAGCACCAGCCCCACTGTGTGTTTTCTTGTGTCATCAGAATTTCATATCTATCCTTGTACTCTATCCACCCCCCTCCTTGACACACACACATGCATACACACAAACACATACCAGTTTAATCGGATGCCTCACTATAGCTCTTTATGATTTGCCTGTCTTCTAACATATTTAGGTACATGTTGTCAGTATTATTTTTTAAATGTGTCATTGTATCCACTCTTTTTTTTAACAATTTATTTGTTTATTTGAAAGGCAAAGTTACAGAGAGTGAGAGGTCAACAGAGAGAGAGATAGAGGTCTTCCATCCACTGGTTCACTCCCCAAATGGCCAAAGCTGAGCTGATCTGAAGCCAGGAGCCAGAAGCCTCATCCAGGTTTCCCACGTGGGTGCAAGTGCCCAAGGACTCTCACAGGTGCATTAGCAGGGAACAGAATCAGAAGTGGAGTAGCAGGGACTCAAACCAGTGTCCATATGGGATGCCAGTGCTGCAGGCCAAGACTTTAACCTGCTGTAACACAGCACCAACACCACATATTTTTAATTAGTTAATTTTTTAGTCTTCATACTAAAGATGTGAATGGCTTCTATATCATGATTATGATGTTAGGATACTTTGAATTTGTTTGATATTTCTGTTTACCAGTGATTTTCTGCCTCCTGATATATTCTTCTTACTGGTTAGTATGTTTCTTCCAAGTAGAAGAAACTCCCTTTCGTGTGTTTTTGAGACATATCCAGTGCAGATACATTTTTTCATATTTCTTTGGGAACTTCTTTATATCTCCATATCTAAAAGAAAACTTTTTTGAGTATAGTATTTTTGATTGATTGCTTTTACCTTAAGTACTGTGAAATCTCATCCCTTCCTCCTGGTCTATAATGTTGCTACAGAGAAGTCTGAAATTAGGTATATTGGGGGATTCTATGTGTATTTTTTTGGCTGGGAGAGCTCTTGAAACTTTGAGAATTTACTCTGTTTAGCCTCCAAGGCATTAATAATAACATGTCTTAGAGTGGAAATGAAACAGTAGAATCAGACCTGTGACTTCTGGCATTCCCAGATAGTACTTAGATAATTGATTCTAGATGTAATTTTTTGGTAGGTTTGGAAATTTCCCTATTATTATTGGAATATAGTTTGTACTTTTTAAAATATTTATTTATTTATTTATTTATTTATTTATTTGAAAGGCAGAGAGAAAGAAAGGGAGAGGGAGAGAGAGGGAGAGAGAGGGAGAGACAGAGAGAGAGAGAATCTTCTATCTATTGGTTTACTCCCCAAATGGCCAATACGGCCTGAGCTGGGCCAGGCTGGAGCCAGGAGCTTCTTCCAGGTCTCCCACATGGGTGCAGGAGCCCAAGTATTTGGGCTATTTTGTACTGCTTTTCCAGGGCATAATCAGAGACCTGGATAGGAAGAAGACATCAATTGGCACCCTTACAGGTTTCCGTCACTGCAGGCAGAGGCTTAACTTACTGGGCCACAGTGCCAGCTCCCAATAACATTCTCATATGCCAACGATCCTCTGGCTGAGAAAGAGCTTATAAAATCAGTCCCATTTGCAATAGTTAAATTTTTTTTTAAATATATTGGAATAAGTTTAGCCATGGATGTGAAAGATCTCTACAATGAAATTTGCAAAACATTAGTGGAAGAAATAGAAGACACAATAAACAGAACAAACTTCTATGTTCATGGACAGGGATAATTAATATCATCAAAAAGTCCATACTATGTAAAGTAACTTGCAGATTCAATGTGATCCCAATCAAGATACCTAGGATATTCTTCACAGACCTAGAAAAAAAAATCCTAAAATTCCAATGGGAATACAAAAGACCTCAAACAAAATGTTGAATATTCTTAAACAATAAAAAACAAAGATGCTAGAGGTATTTCAGTACCATATTTCAAGACATATAATAGGGATGTTATAATCAAAGTAGCCTGGTACTGGCACAAAAATAGATCTAGAAAGCAATGGAATAGAATAGAAACCTCAAAAATTAATGTATATATCTACAGCAAACTTTGACTAACAAGCTAAAATCATTTTATAGAAAAAGACAGTCTCTTCAACAAAATGGTGTTGGGAAAAATGGATTTCCACAGGCAGAACTTTGAAATAAGATCCCCAGTATACACCCTATACAAAAATCAACTCACAATTAATCAAGGACCTAAACTTAAGACCTGAAACTATCAAATTACTGGGGCAAAACACTGCAAGATAGTGTTCTAGGCAAACATTCTTGAATAAGACCCCAGGAGCATAGGCAATAAAAGCAAAAATAGACAAACAGATTACGTCAAACTAAGAAGCTCCTGCACAGCAACAGATTTCTTGACTCCCTTTTCTTCTCTATGTATTTTAAATCTGCCAATTTTATGGTAAATAATTATTTCTTCCATTTGATTTGTTATGCTATTGATGCCTTCTATTATGTTTTTAATTTCACTTAGTGTTTTATTTAGTTCAAGTTTAGTATCTGTCTATTTTATTTTAATTACCTAAATTTTTCTCATAGATTTCTCTGTTAGAGTGTTAATCATCTCTGTGTATTATCTGTATTCTCTAGATTTAATTAATTATATCTTAGTTATATCTTTTTAATTCTTTATCTGAAAAAAAAAATCCTGTCTTTTGCAAGAAAATGGATGAAACTGGAAGCCATGATACTTAGTGAAATAAGCCAGTCCCAAAAAGACAGATATCAAATGTTTTCCCTGATCTGTGGTAACTAATACAGTACCTAAAAGGTAATGTATGGAGTGAAACTGATATTTTGAGATTTCTTCGTTGTTTACAACCCTTGTCTCTACTTAGGAACAGTGTTTTTTGCTTGTTGTTTTTTTTTCTTCATGTTGTTTGTTGAACTCTACTTAGTGTAGGGTTAATCTTATAAGTGTACAGTAAACTGAAAATAGATCTTTTTAAAAATCAATAGTGGGAATAGCATAGGGAGAAGGAAGAAAGGAGGAGAGTGTGTGCAACAGGGAGAGTAGGGTGAGAAGTATCACTATGTTCCTAGAACTGTATATATAAAATATATGACATTTAAATACCTTAAATAAAATTTTAAAAAATAACAAAAAGCTTTTGAAATTCTTTATCTGAGCATTTGAAAATTTCAGTTCCTAAGTGTAATAGTTTCTTGAGATGTATTGCTGCTTGTTTTTTCTATGCTGCCATCTGTTCATTGAATGATTAACTATTTTCCCCAGTCTTTATATACTGGCTTTGTTTATGGCCATCCTCCCAGAAATTCTAAGCAGCCCTGCTTATTTTCTTTGAGTTTCTGTGTGGGCACTTCTGCTATGTTAACTCTAGATGGTTTCTTTTGTCAAGTTTTGCAATGAGTCTGCTGTTTGTATGCTGCTGTTTTTGCAACCCTGGAAGATGAACCAATCCCAGATTTGTCACGAATCTGCAGTCAGTGTGCTGTACAGGATAAACTTCTAATGAGGAGTAATCTGTCACTGAAAGACTCTTCCTGGATTTGGCATAAGCCAAGGCACCTTAGTCCTGTGGCTGCTATAACACAATGGGAAATCCCATAGAACCCACAGTCCACTAAGACAAGCATAGTTTATGGGTAGGATTAATACTCATAATACTATGGGGTCTGTCTGCTGTTAAGATGGACCAATATCCTGAGATTGCTTCAGTTTACCACAAGTGATACTGGTTGGACTCTTTTTCATCAAATGGAGCCACAAAACTCTATTGGCAATGGGCCATGTCCAGATGCCCTGTCCACTGGCCCTGGCCTGGGGACAGGGACTATTATAAGCTACCCAGCACTGGACTTTATCAGAATAGCATTTTGTCCCAAAACACAGTCCTGTGGTTCCTTGATGTTTTCTGATATTTGGGGGAGAGTTAATAAAGGTAGCTTATTGGCTACATAGGCTGGTTTTAGATGGGCCATACTTTGGTCTGCAGGGCTTCATAGGACTGCATACCCTGGTGGTGATACATATAAAATGAGTCTGTCCTATTAGGGTACAGGAATCTATGTTTGACCCTGAGGCAAGTCTACAGCCTCCATCTTTGAACAGTGGCATGGGAGTAGAGATGTTATTAAATAATGGGTCACACTGCAGTGGACCTGGATCTGATCTCCACGGCACCACCTTTAAGATCTCCTGCCCTACTCTCCGTTGGCTGGATTCTTGCACTTCTGTCTGCCACAGATCGAGGAATGGGTGGGTAGGCAGTTCCTTTGCTGCTTAATAGGGTGCAAAGGTTCACACTACAGGTACTGGCTAGGGGAACAACTGTGGGTTCTATATTTTACTGTGACAAGCCTGATAGTATATTTCAACTTGCAGTATCTGGACATAACTCCCTCAACTGTTCTTCATCTCAGAGGTAAGATGGTTTTTTTCATGTTGTGCTACTTTGATCTGGGAGAGAGATGATGCAGGCAACTATATCTTTCCTGCATTCATGGCTGTGGCTCTTATTTTATGCTGAAACCAGACACCATGTCCTCTCACTTGCCTTCTGGATCTTTTTTTATAAGAATAGCTTGGTTGATGAATACTCATTCACGTTGTGTCTCTCCAGAGTTATGTTTGCTGAAGAATTTTAGCCACCATCCTGCTCAGACCTCCTAACTTTTTGTCTATGGAAAAATACAAATACAGACAAATTTGGGTAAAACTATATACTTTCTGAGTGATTATTAAAATTATGTAAACTATTTGCATATATAATCAGACAAGTGAAGCCTAATAAAATTTTAAAGGTGCTAATACTTAGCAAGTGCTCAATATGTATCCATTAATGGTGTTAATGTTTATAAATATTTTTCTCATTTATTGTTCACCAAAATCATGTGGAATTATACTACTACTACTTCCATCTTGTGTATTTTGTGTAGTTATAAAACCTAAGCTTAAGGTTTTAAAGTAACCAAAACTACAGATGTAGGAAAGCATGCACAGTCACACATGCACAAACACACACAAAACCACTTAGGATCTTCTTGACTTTATATATCACTATACTGGGCACTCCTCATTAACTGTTTTCATGATTTGGGTTAAAATACTCAGTTTCCTATTCTTCAGTGCAGTAAACAGCACAATGTTTGAGTATCCTAATCTGTGTTCTTATCATGAATGGTAAGTGCTCTGAATTTTCTAGAAACTGTATAAAAGAAATTTGCAGAAGTATGTTATCCTTAGAAACAGACAAAATAGTTTACTCTGATTATTTCTTTGTTGTATAGGGCTTTCTGTTTTACATAATTTTTATAATTCTGTAAATTTAGATTTTAAGTTCTATAGCTTTGTCTGATGCAAAGTCCTAGCCAACTAACCTCAAAGAGTGTAGTTTATAGAGTGTTGGTTATTATCCAGTTTTATATCTAATCTAGCAATTTATTAATAACCTCCATTAATTTTTCAATATTAATTAATAAATTTAAATATATGATAGGTATTAATTTTGTATTTGCATGTGATACACTGTTTTGTCATTCTGTATATTGTATTTTCAGTGGTTGTTATTTTCTTGTAATTTTTCAGAAAAAAATTGAATGTGCTGCTTATAGCATTTCTGTAGCTATCATTTGAAATTTTACCTTGAGATCCAAAGCTTAATTATATAAAATTTTCAAAGGCATTTTCATAATTTAGTAGATACCAGAATCTGAGAATTTCAGCATGATCCAATGCTTACTAAGAAGGGAGATGGAGAAATATACTATCCATTGAAACACTTATGCTGGGACACTCAACACATTTTTTATGACTTATCCCTTTGAGGGAAGGTGATATTATGAATCATCAGGTTACCATATTGAAGTACATTTCACAAGTTTCAGACAAAGTTCTCTGATTTTAATGTCGTAGTTCACAGAATGATAGTTTATTGCCAAATCTCAGTTTTAATATTTTGGAACTGAGGAAGATAAAAATCTATAAGAAATTTAAATTTTCTTGGTATTAACATATGAGTATATGGACAGAAAAGAAGCTGAAGGTGATTATTCAAATGGCATGCTATTTGAAAGAGGAACACTTAAATTACAATTATAAACTCATTAACCAACAAGAAGAGGCACTTGCTTATTCCACAAAGTGTTTTTGAAAGCACCTGTAGGATTTTATAAAACATCTCTTTCAGGCCTCTGGGCTTTTCTCATTGAGATGGTTATCATGTCTGATAACACAACAAGATCATTATACTTTTGTAATATTTAGACATTTGTATCAGTAGCATTTTACATTATCAAAACTTAAAATTTATCACCACTTCACATCTTGACAGTACCTTTAATATAATTCAGATAGGCTTATTAGTTGGTATAGTGTATTCTTAATAAATGCTGTTTCATAAGGTAGAACCTGAAAGGTGATTTTGAATTTAATGATAACTCTTTTCATGATAAATGAGAAAAGAGTTATTTTGAGTTAGGTTTCTAGCAAATGAAACTATGTAGTAAATGGGCCTTTCCTTATGTCATAGAAATCCCTATTATTTAAAATGTAAATGAAATATGCCCTGGTTAAATGAACATTTACCTTTAAAACTTACAAAAGGTCATGAAAAGTGGTGGGACCACCATGATAAGACCATTTCTCAGTAACCAGGTCATGAGCCTGTATCCCATGACTCCTTGTACTTCATATATTTTCTCCTTCACAATGGTTTTCAGAGATTATTCTTAGTTTTCGTAAGGGACAACTTATATTGTTCTCTTCTGTTCATGGCTCTGTGCTTAGATGAAGTTTAAAAGCAGTGAAGGAGACCCTATCCTCTCACTTCTATCACAATCTCAAATAAAAGATGAATGAATAATTATTAAAACTTCAGTAGTAAAATCTTCATTCCTTACTAGAAACACATTAAAATGCTAATAATATAAACTAATATGGGCAACTTACTCTCATTCTAAAGATGTAGTATAATTTATGGTTTCTAGTCTTTCAAAAATACTGGAAATTATCAACTGCAAATGTGTTTAATTGTATATGTGCCTCTTTAGTGTGTAATGGCTAAAACTTTTGGAATCTGAATTGGTCATTTTGCTCCTGGGAGTCAGAAAACACTAGGGAAAAAATAACTGTAAAAAAGAAAACTACAACAAGAATTACAGAGGTTTACTAAGTTGTAAGGCTTAATTGACTCCCAAAAAGTTTCAGAAATAATGAGAGTGAAGAGATTATGGTTGTCTTACATTTTTACTTTTTCATTCATTAAACAGATGGCCTCATTTTGGGGTAATTATAAACTAGAGTATTTTTGACCAATTAACAATATAGTTCGAACTACAATCTTTGGGCTGCTTGCACAGAATTTAGCTTAATATATTCATTTACAGATTCCACTTGATTGCAGTTGGTTTATTTACAAAATTCCATAAGGAATGAACAGCAGGATAGCTTGGAATAGGCTCAGAGTCAAATAAATCTGGCTTTGATTTCTTGCTCCAGAAATACATGCCTTTGTGCGTGTGAGGTCTGGTAGGGATTTTAAAGATCATCAAATTACAATTCTACATTTTGCAGATGGAGAAACCAAGACTTGGAGATGTGAAGTGCAATGCCCAAAGTTCTGCAGACACTAGCATACTATAAGCTCCAACACTGGAAAACAAAAAATAACCAAAGCTTGATTCTGAGCTTATAGAATAAACTTCCCGCTACTCTGCTGCCCTGAAGTTACGGCCTGTCAGCGCCGCTGGGGAAAGCTTGGCATGACAGTGAATACATTTAATTTAACAACGTAGGGTCATACACATAAGTACCTATAGTCTTAGATTTCCTTTACAAAAGAGCTATAAAAATACACACATAAAGTAGAAATACCTCTATAGTATTGGACACCAAATATAATGCCCATAGTCTTCAAGAAAATTTAAGAAAAGGGGCTTATTGGTCTAACTTGAAACTCAAAAAAGAAAAACATTGTATTTCAGAATAAGTGGAAGGGAGATTCCACGCGATTCCATAAAAACACCCCTGCTGAGATCAGTAAGGTTGAGAGAGGAAGGAAGACAGGTGCCAGCTGTGCTGTTATCGAGCTATGGATCTATGTGTATTGGCATCTTTGCACCACACCTTTCCTCTATTTCTGTAGTGCAATCTGTACTTCTAAGGACCACATTTTGTCTTGTGATTTGTATACCACTTTCTTTTAGTCTCAATCATGCAAAATATTATAATTAAGTTGATTTCCTTCATTCCTGAATCATTATTCTATCTTGATGAGATAATTCTCATCAACATAAACAGATGCAGTAATATTTCTTGCTTTAAAAACTAAAACCAAGCCAAACTATTTTAGCCAAAAAAAAAAAAAAAAGCAGAGTGAAATTCAGATAAATCTCAGTTTCTATCAGAATCACAATCACAAAACATACAGGTAAAACATAGAACGCAAGTAAATAACCTTTAATTTTTTTTTTTTTTATTTTTTATTTTTTTTTTTTTTTTAGATTGCAGGAAAAAAAGAATGCATTGGAAGCCAGAAGTAACAAGAAAGCAAAAGTCTCTGTGGGATACTGTAGTGTTAAAGCCAATTTTTTCATGTATTTGTCTTTGGAGTGTCTGCCAGTCATTGTTGGCGCAGAACCTTAGCTTAAGGCTAAGTACTTGGGCATCCTACATAGGCAATGCCTGAGATTTGGAGGGCAGCTAAAAGACCTTGATCCGATATCCTGGAAATACAATATAATTGACTAAGTCAAAAATATCAGAGAAAATAAGCAAATTGGCATTATTTGCTTGTGATATGATTGTATAGAAAAACGAAAGGAATGTAAGATCAAATTATTAAAATAAAGATCAGAGATTATCTGTAGAATAAAAGATAATTTCCAAATTTTGTGAATTTTTGTATTTCCATGTAATGACAACAAAAAACTAAGCACACACACACACACACGAACACACCAGAAGAGAAGTATATATTTTGTACATACAAAAATGTGTTTGTATGTGTATTTTTTAAATAGTAAAATAAAATACAATCCGTGGTATAAAAAATACATGTGTAATACTGAACAGCTATTTTAAAGTCATATGTAAACTGTAAAAAAGGACATATAAAATGTTCTTATAGGATACACACAATATCATAAAAAGAGTTAATATTTGTTTAGGTGTCAAAAATAAACATTTAATGCAATTTAAAAATACTATTGTATTTTAATGGAATGAGATCATTTGATTTTAAAATTTACACAGAGTACCAAATGTTTGTAAAATATTGAGGTACTTATAAACACAGATTAAGAGGGAGAGCTATCTAAAATAGAAATATATCTGTATTATACAGTCATTTAAATGAGGAGAAAGTACTATTAGGGTAGTATTAAACAACTACAGAAATAGAACAGATATTTATTCCAGAAGCAAAGTGTGTATGTGGGTATGTGTGCATGTGTGTGGTATTTTGATGAATTTAAATCAAAACAAATGATAGTAAATTAATGGAAAAAGTTGTATTTTTAAGGAAATCATGATGGTAAATTTATTTTTACCTATATGGAAAATGTAAAAGGATCATTACCATTATCACCTCAAGAAACACAAAAATAAATTGATGAATGGTAAAATTCTTACATGTGGGTGGCAATATTATTTTTGCATATTTGAAACTTCTAGTAAATATTTTTTGATTATTAAAAATATTTATTTATTTGAAAGGCAGAAATACAGTGCAAGAAGGAGAGAGAGGGGGATACAGAAAAGGAGAGACAGAGATATTCCATCTGTTGGTTCATTCTCCAAATGGCTGCAAGGGCTGGGGCTAGGATAGACAAACCTAGGAGCCAGAAACTTCATCTGGGTCTACTACATGAGTATAGGGGCCCAATTACTTGGGCTATCGTCTGCTGCTTTTCCAGGCTCTTAACAGGGAGCTTGGTCAGAAGTTGAGCAGCCAGAACTTGAACCAGCACCCATATGGGGTGTTCACAGTGCAGGCATCTTCTACACCACAGTGTATTAGATATATTGTCTTAAGGGACACATTTTTTAAAAGATAGAATGCTGTGGCGCAGTGGGTTAATGCCCTGGCTTGAAGCACTGGTAACCTTTATGGGCGCCGGTTTGAGACCCAGCTGCTCCGCTTCTGATCCAGCTCTCTGCTATGGCCTGGGAAAGCAGTAGAAGATGGCCCAAGTCCTTGGGCCCCTGCACCTGCATGGGAGACCCAGAAGAAGCTCCTGGCTCCTGGCTTCAGATCAGCACAGCTCCGGCCGTTGTGGCCATCTGGGGAATGAACCATCAGATAGAAGACTTTTCTCTCTCTCTGCCTCTCCTCTCTCTGTGGAATCTGACTTTCAAATAAATAAATAAATCTTTTTTTTTAAAAAAAAAAGTATATAAAGGTAAATTTGCATGTATTGATAATGATCAACCTGACCTTTTAGAGTAATCTTTAATGAATTGCTTGGTTTACCAACCATTGTTTTTATTAGAATATGACTTTTTAAAAATAATCCCAACCTGGCTGTCGCCATGGCTCACTGGGCTAATCCTCCACCTGCGGCGCCAGCACCCCAGGTTCTAGTCCCACTTGGGGCACCGGATACTAGACTCGGTTGCTCCTCTTCCAGTCCAGCTCTCTGCTGTGGCCCAGGAGGGCAGCAGAGGATGGCCCAAATACTGGGGCCCTACACCCACATGGGAGACCAGGAAGAAGTACCCAGCTCCTGGCTTCGGATCGGCGCAGTGCTGGCCGTAGCAGCCATTAGGGGAGTGAACCAACTGAAGGAAGACCTTGCTCTCTGTCTCTCTATCACTGTCTATAACTCTGTCTCTCTCTGTCTTAAAAAAAATAATCCCAACTTGACATACACCACAGTTCAAGTGGTGTTGAGACCAAAAATTTGCTTATAGCAACTTCAACATAATGCATTTTGTAGACTAATCTCTCTGTACTAGAGTTATCAGAAGAACTATTTTCCTCATGCTATACTGTTGTAGAAATTTCCAAGAGGATGAACAATAAAATATCATCAGGCCATTAATGTACTTGGTTTCTAGGTCAAAATTTTGGTAATTTTTTTTCCTTCTCATTTTCCTCTCTTTACTCCCTTTCAACTTGGTTTCCACTTATTTACTTCTCATTCCTAAAATTTCTAATGGAACAAAGGGGAAAATCAGCTTTACCTTCTTTTAGTGGAATCCCAGACTCTCAATTACCTTACTCATGGTGGTGAGTCATTTTCCCTCAATTCTTTTCTTCTGTTAAGTCACAGGATTATTTAGAAGCAGCAATATTATTTAGAAATAAGAACTAATTTACACAGGCCTACTGACTGCATCTCATCTGGAACTTTAATAAAGTTTTATTAAATAAAAAAAGGAAATGTGAAAGATTGTACCCTAAAATTTAGTTTTCCTCAGAACATGTTGTTTGAAAATGATCAAAGGTTTATATATACAATGTATAATAGCATAGGACATTTAGATTTTCCAATTTCTTTTATTCCTTTAAACATTTATTGACATTCACAAAATATCATATGAAGTTTCTGAAAATTTCACAGTTTTTGCTACAAAAACAAACTTTTGGTATATTAACAAAATAATCAAGATAAATAATATTATTACCCCAGATACAAAATATCAAAAATATGTGGAGAATATAATGAATGGCTAAATTCAAAATCGAAATTTCTGGTGTACTGGTCACAAAAAGAAGGCTTCACTTGTCACTGATACATGCAAAATGGTATGATTTTACTGTATGATGTTCCTGAGATGTATTCACTAAATGAAGTCTATTCAGGATAAACATGTCTGTCTCCTCAGATAGTTGATATTTCTTTTGTGAAAAACATTCAAAACCTGTTCTTTCAGTTTTTATAGAGAAACATACAGCACATCATTATTATCCATAGTCCTCTTACAGTGCAATAGAGCAACTTTGTATTCCTATTTAACTTTGACTCACTTCCCACTAATCAAACTTTCCCCATCTCTCTCATACGTATACTCTGCAGCCTCCGGTAGCTATTTGATTGCTATTAGAGCAACCTTTTTTATATCTATTTGAGTTTCTGTGCTTGATTTATTTCACTTCACATGATGACCTCAGTTCCATTAACATGGGTGCTGATGACAAGATTTCATCTCTTGGTTATGGAACAGTATTCCATTGTATATATTTATTTTCTTTATTCATTCATTAGTATTATCCATTTCTTTGCTATTATGAATAGTGCTGCAATAAACATGCGAATGCAGAGATTTCTTTTTCAGAGGAATTTTATTTCCATTGCATATATGCATAGTTGTGGGAGTGCTGGATCACATGATAGTTCTATTATTAGTTTTTTGAGGAATCTCCATATTATTTTCCACCACGATTGTACTAATCTTCCCACCAACACTATGCAAGAGTCCTATTTTAAGCACATCCTTTGCCAGCATTTTTATCTTCTGTTTCCTTTAATATTTATTTGAAAAGCATAATTAGATAGACAGAGAGGGAGAGGTCTTCCATCTACTGGTTCACTCCTCAAATGGTTGCAATGGCCAGGGCTGGGCCAGGCTGAAGCCAGGAGCCAGGAGTTTCATCTGGGCCTCCTATGTGGGTGGCAGGGACCCATGCACCGGGATCATCCTCCCAAGCACATTAACAGGGAGCTGTATCAGAAGTTGAGCAGCTAGGACTTGAACTGCTGCCATATGGAACGCCAGCACCACAGGTAGGTGCTTAACCTGCTATACCACTAGGCTGGCTTCATTCTTCCATCATTTTGAGAATAATCAATCTAACAGGGCTAAAATGACATCTCATTGAGGCTTTGATTTTAGTTTCCTTGATAATTAGTGATTTTGAGCATCTTTTCATGTACATGTGGGCCATTTACATTCCTTACCTTGAGAAATGTCTGTTTAGACCTGCCTATTTTTAAATTGAATTATTTCCATTTTTTGCTGTTGTGCTGTGTGTTTTCATCTGTTTGCTTTTTGTTACTAAAAATTATACATATTTATGGGGTTCTGTGTACATTGTCTAATATCTAATCAGGATACATTTGTCTTTTCAAGCGTTTATCATTTCATTGTAGCAAAAGCATCCAACAATCATATATTCCAGTTTTTTGTAGAAGATAAATGCATGGTATTTATCTAGATTGAGATACTCATATATTCTGGTTATTAACTCCTTATCAGGTGTATAATTTGCAAATATTTTCTCCTATTCTGTGATTGTGTCTTTTCTGTTGATTGTTACCTTCACTGTGCAGAGGAAGTTCTTTAATGAAATGAAATCTCATTAGAGTTTTTGGTTGTTGTTGTGTTTTGTTTTGTTTTGTTTTGTTTTTTGCAATTGTTTTTCGTTCTTTTAGTCTGACACTAAAATCTTTGTTGATTCCAATGTCTGGGAGCATTTACCCTATGTTTTCTTCGATTAACTTTAAAATTTCAGGTCATGTGTCGCTCCCCCTCTTCGTGGAGGAACGACATTAAACCCTGCCTAGGCTTCATATCCGAGTCACGGCACCATTATGTCGCTCCCCGTCTTCGTGGAGGAACGACACAGGACCCTGTGCTGTTCTTTCGTCTGCTCAGCCCTCCCCGGGTTTGCTGCTGGTTCTTCCCGGGTTGGCTACTGGTCCTTCCACCTCCGTGGAAGGGCGGTTCCCCCTGCCACATTCCCCACTTCCGCGGGGGAGCGGCACACCACTGGCCGGCTCTCTCGGGGGCTGCACAGGTGTTCCCCTTAGATGTTCCTCTTAGATGTTCCTGGTGCATGCCGTCTCTCTCCTCCTTTATAGTCCTCCTCCGCCAATCCTAACTCGGCTGCCCACACGCCAAGTACGCTGCTCTCCTCCAATCAGGAGCAGGATCAGCTCCTGGAGGTCAGCACTCAAGTTGGCAAGAGGCAGCTGCGTAGAAGCTGTTTTCTTCTCTCCCAGCGCCATATTGTGGGAGAGCAGATGCATAGAACAAGTCTTAATTCCAGTAACTCAGTCCAGTCCGGGTTGCTCCCAACATCATGCATTTAGATTTTTCATCCATTTTGAATTGATTTTTTATGTGGTAAAAGATAATGGCCTAGTTTCATTCTTCTGTGTGTGGGTATCCAGGTTTTCAATTCTGTTTCTTTTCTTACACTGGCATGCATGTCTTTTTATTCAAATATGGTGCTGTTTTAATTACTGTAGCTTTGTGATCCATTTTAAAGTGGTGTAGTAAAATGTCTTCTCTTTTGTTCCTTTTTCTTCATATTTCTATGTCTGTTTCAGTGTTTTATGATTCCACATCAAGTGTAGTGGGATTTTTTGTCGTTCTGTGGATAATATTATTAATATTGTGAGAGGGATTGTGCTGAATCTTAAGTCACTTTAGGTAGTATGCACATGTTGATAATATCGAGTAATCCGTTGAGTCAGGTTGAAGCCAAGAGCCAGGAATTCTCTCCTGGTTTCCCACATGGGTGGCAGGTACTTTGATATATACATAAACCAAAATGTGTGTGTGTGTGTGTGCATACATCCTATGTGAAAAGAAATAAACAAATGTGGAGTATTTACTAATGACAACTATAAATTTCTTTCTAATCCTGAGACTTTTATAAGTCTACCTACCACTAAAGTCCATAGCATGCTTTTTCTTAATCCTTTGACCATGCTTATATAAATTACATGTTCCTGACACAAGAACAGCATTTTCTTTCATAATTTGGATAAGCATTCATTGGAAGTCTTTATGCTGATGCCAAAACCTATTAACATGTATGATGAATTGTCGAGTCAAGTGAAGCAACATAGAAAGTGTAAGATTGTGTCCTTTCCTCTTCTAGCATTTTAGCTAAAGGTCTTATAAAAAAATATCTAGCTGAAACTGCTGATGCTTTCAAAAACACGTAGCACCACCACACCATCTAGTAGTTATCTTGATACATTCTTGGTTATTTATGGTTGATATGGCATTGGCATGTGGATAACTGTGGAGTTTAAGAGGCAGAACTTTCACGTATATTCAGAAACATGAAATTATTTTCACAAGCAGATTTGGGCTTGTTAAGTGGCCAATGCTTTCCAAAATATTTCAATATTGAAGGGCCCATGTCCAGATTAGCTACTGGTTTCCCAGAAAAGGTCTTGGATGGTTAGAATAAAGTAGAAGTTTTATGGAATAATTCATATTTTCCTCTTGGCTTTGACTTTTGCTGAGACTCTTTAAACAAATCAGTATACTCTTTTCATTCTCATATAGCCTCAAGA